CCGGCCCCCCGCGTCCGCCCCGCGCCCTCTCCCATAGCCGAGCCGCCGCTCGAAGCAGGGCCGGGATTAATTTTATTTAACGGCAGCAGAAGGATCCCGCTTTATGCATGCGGGTTGGCCTAAGAGGATTGTTTTTTGGAAAGGGAAGGGAAAAAAAAAAAAAAGGGAAAAAGAGAAGGGGGGGCCGTTTGTCCTCCAGCAGTTATGACAGTTTATGTTAGGCAGTAGGGAGTAACCTAAGAAAGGAAAACAGACCTTTGACAGAAGCTTTAGGGAGGGGATCAAAAATGCAAGTTTTATCAGGATATTTCAGCGTTTTAACACTGACTACTGACCTGACAACAGGACTGCACTGAGACCTTTTTTGTATGCATTCAATTGTGAGAAGTAAACAAACTGACTTGTATCCTGTGTTTGGTAACTGGGTGGGGAGCGCAGTTTGGCAACGGGTGTTGCTTTTAAATTCTTTCTTGGACAATGGGCCTTGTATACTTTTATATCCTGGCTTTTCAAAGTAGAGAGCGTTCAAGAGCTTTTCTTAGGATCGCCAAGAAGACAACCAAGCGGGCATCAGTCAATTTATATACAGGTTTTTGGGTTTTTTTTTTTTTATTTAATGCTAACCTTACCCTCAGATGGCAACTAAAGCAGGCATTACTATAACTAGATTTTTTTTTTCCCTCTCTGATACCATTTGTATAGATAGGTACAGTTTTTACAGAATTAATGTCTGCAGAGGAAAACATTGCTTTAACTCTTGATACGCCTGCGGTTTGCATTCATCAGGTGCTGCTGCAAATAGCTGTGCCAGCTGGGTCTCTGTGAGCAGGCTGTTGCAAAGAAACGAAAACTCTTTGGAGTTTCAGTACCTCTAAATGCTGATTTGCTTAAGTGTGTTCGTGAAGTTAACGGATTTTTACTTAAGAAGAAGATAGATTAATTTTCCTGTTGGTACGCAGTTGGTTGCAGTATGAAGATTGATGGGGCTTGGCAGTATGAAGACAGCTGTTTAAGGATTTTATTAAAAGTAGTTTCCATTGCCCTTAGCTTTCCCCAATAGACATTTTTATTTTTTATTTTTAAGTCATGATTATGTCAACTTCACCTTGACAGGGCCTATTCTTTCCCGCTTGCTCCCGGCCTCTGCCGTGGTCCGCGCTGCGCGTTCGGCGCCCGACTCGGGGCCGTCAATGCCGGGAGGGTTTTCGGCGCCTTCGTCCGAGGCGGGGGCCCGAGTCCTGGGCTGGTGTGAGTCAGTCTCGCTCCCATAACTCTGGTGGATTTTTACTGCTTTACACCAGTAAGAGCCTCGGGCGTGGGCTCTCCTGAAACAGGATCACGGAAGGGGAGCAAAAAGCTTGCAGTCTGTGCTTTATTTGTGAAAGTATCTGTCGGTGTAGTTTGGGAAGAGTTAATTTTCTTTCCATAATTGTTAGCCATAATGTGTGTAAGACCTCCACCTTGATATGATTCCTAGCAGATTAGGGATATTAGATAATTTCCTTCTATTTATTGTACTACTGCACTGTATTATCTTTCTATCACTCAGATAATTACTAAGGAAATCTACATTAATTTTTTTGGCTAGCACAAGGAACTGCTAAACACTGGCATGATGTATTGATGTTTTACACAACAAAAGTTTTCCTCCTGTCATTGTACAATAAATAAAAAGATATTTATCAAAATGCAAAGCCTTTCATGGGTTTTAAAGAACAAAGCAGATAAAATACAAGATGAGCATGGAAGCAAAACCTAGAGGCTTCCTTAACTGAGCAAAATTAAGGACTCTGAAGCCTGGAGTACTGTACATATTAAACACTCACATTCAAGTAAGATGTTGTTTGCTAAATTATGAATGTGTGTAATTAAAATCTAGTGGCTGTTTCTATGAAAGATTTACAATGTTATTTCATCGTTTGTCATGGCTAATTAACAATATTAGATGAAGTTTTTCTTCTTCAAAGGTCTGATTTTTTCTCATTTATTTATGTCAGAAGTGATAAACAGAGTAGTTAAAAGCTTCTCCGGGTACGGTAGTGAGAAAAGCAACATGTTCTTTTACACCTCGAAGGTTCAAGGTTCACGTCCCCGTGGAGCAAAGCAGCTCGGTCGTCTTTCTAGTGAGAATAATTAAAAATTTCAAAGTGCAGAAGTAGCAGCCTTAAATACAGCACAGAATAATTCCGACCAGAGCAGAAAATGTTGTTGCTTGATGAATGAATAGGAGAGAGCGAGTATAAATACTATAAATAAAGGCAGTCATATGGCCTTAATAGTTGAGGCAGTCTTTGCACGTGCAAAGCAAGCACGCTCCAGGATTATTTTTCATTACCTCTAAGGGTAATGTGGTTGTGTGGTGCGATTCTCGCATGACATGTGTTTGCTGCTAGCTCGAAGAATTGCCTCTGACTTGTAACAGCCGCCAGCAGATTTTGCTTTAACCACCACCATAACGCGGCCACTTCTGGGGTCAAGCACGCCCACGTGGACCAGGATAGCACAGTAGCGTAGCCCAAGAAATGCTCCATAAATGTTTAATTGGAATCGCAGGAGGGATTTAGGTAGGATGAACGTAATTACCAGAGGTGGAAATGGACTGCAGCCCCGTGGTTAGCGCTAGTACCCCAAGGTGCCTTGGGGTCTGTGCTGCCAGGTGGCTGGGTCCTTTGCTCACTCTCCTCTCTTCATACTGGGTGACAGCGCTCATAAGTTGAAGCATGTTGAGGCAAGGAGCCCTTTCAATCCCCTGTTAATGCTTTGCTCCATACTGACAAACGTGCGTTATTTTTTGTTATTTTTGTTTGTTTGTTTGTTTGTTTTCCAGCCCCAGCAACAGCAGGTGGCTACGCAGCAGTTGGCCTTTCAGCAGCAACTCCTGCAGATGCAGCAGTTGCAGCAGCAGCACCTCCTGTCTTTGCAGCGTCAAGGTCTGCTAACGATTCAGCCTGGCCAGCCTACTCTGCCTTTGCAGCCCCTTGCGCAAGGTACGTGAGGGGTCCGGGGGCGTAGGGAGAGAGAGCGCCCGCGACAGGGTGGGCGTTAAAGAGACATCTCTGAGAAGGGCAGCCCTGAAATCTTGGACCACTCTAGCTAGCAGCAGGCGGTTTGGAGTTTGGATTCAGTTTGCACAGGTATATCCACTCTGCTGGGCGCAAAGCTGCTTGGTGCTATTAATCTGGGCTTGAAACTCTTCACGGGAGGCTTCTTAATAGATTTGTGGTGCTGGGATCATGGCTAAGGATAGTGTTGAGAGCAGCTTTTCTTCCTTCTTTTTTTTTCTTTCTTTTTTTTTAATGTGTATTTTGGGCCCTTTCTAGTTCCGTCCTTGGCAAGAAGTGAAGCGAGGAAGAACCGGTCCGCGCACTGCGGCACTGTAGAAATTTGATTGCCCTTTCCTGCAGCTGAAAGGGAAAGGTGGCAATGTCTCTTCTCCATGCCTGTTTACGAGTCCTTCATTTCACTGCCTGTATATATTATAGCTCTGTTCTTCCCTCCACACTGAGGCGAATTGGGATTAACTGCATTTAAATTTAATGGATTTAAGCATGAGCATTGCTGAGCATTAGATCTTTCTACGCCTTTCTTCAGTCCTGCACCCGGCAAGGAGTTACTCCTTTGCTGAAATCTTTTTTTAAGATATTGATACGTTGAAAGCAATAACTTACATCACAATGCTTTTGACAGTGATTGCAATGCAGGGCTTTTCTTATTTCCTCCTCTGTGGCTTTTTCTTTTTTTCTTTTTTTTTTCCAACTGGGTTTGCCTGCAAACCTTGGGCCATTTTACCAGACTTGCCTGAGCTCTGGCTGTTCTGATTAAGGCAGATTGTTCAAAGTTGGCATGGCTTGGGGATGACCAGGTCTATTAAACGATAATGCTGATCTTTCTGAATAATCTTGCCTTTTCCTTCCCTTCCCCGCCATGATAAATTTCAACACCCGTCTCAACAACTTGAGTCAGCTCGGGTTGAATGATTTGGGTTCTTCAGCGCATCCTTAGGGCTGCTACTGGTTTCTAAACCATATAAGGAGTTTGCATTCGGCTCTCCTCACTTAAATAGAGGGGGAGATTGCATCCCCTCTCCCCCCTCCTCCTTTGCGGTGTGCATGTTGCCGCAAAAAGGAGGATGCGGTGGGCACTGAATATGAACTTATCTGGATAAAGGGAGACAAAACCGGGGACTGCAGTCTCCTTCAGCCGTTTGGCTGCTGTGGTGTGTTCAGGCTTGTTTATCGTTTCTGAAGGATTTGAATGCCGAACTCCTGCCCTTGGTGGCTAAACTTTGGGGGAATCTGGCACCTGACTCTGCAAGTCCCGGGTTAGCTTTCCGGCCTCCGGGCGCCGGATTAGTCCTGCTCGCGAGTCGCTCCCTGCCGCCAGGGGCGGCCGTGCCCGCCTGGGAGCTGCCGGATCCGGCCTCGGGTAGTCATTTGTCACTCACTGTCAACGCGGCGCGTGATAGGGAGAAGGCATGAAATGAGTCTAGGAAAAAGAGGCGCATAGACTAATGCCATTTGCACTTGCAAAATGTTGCAACGTGCTAATTACGCTCCAGATTTATTGTTGGAAACATCACACGCTGTTCCTTACACACCCACTGGACTCGAGCGCCAACCTTTCTAATTTTTCCCACAGCTCCTATACTATTAAGTTTGCTCGGTAAGGTTCATTGTATAGTACATCAGTTAAGCTGTCCAAAGGAGGGCAATTGGGCAGTGACAAGACACGCTCACGTGTAATGTGAAAGAAATGAATGTGGTGATGCATGAAGTGTAATCTGCGCAGTAACACGTCGGAGACACCGGTAGGTAATTCAGCGGTCGTGGCAGTGATTGATACGGTTAGCGGGACGGTGTAACTATTAGCCCTTACGACATGCGGAAGAAGCGGGTTTAAAACCTAAGGGGTGCCGGCTTGCACGCCGGAGGCAACATAAACATAAGCAGAGGCGCTTCAAAGGGCCCCTTCTGCCAGGAAGGGAGCTGCAAGCGCTGTCCTCATGGGCGGCCAAACGGGGGCTCGGGGACGGCGGGCAGAAGAGTAACTTGAGAATTCAGGCGGGCTGGAGTACAGCACCATTTTTTTTCTATCAGAGAGACGATGGCTTAAAACTGATGTCATTATGAGGTTTAAATCAACTTTCTGCTTGCTTGAACATGGTCACCTGGGTATGGAGGTACAAGGACACAAAGAGGTTGAGCAACTCTGTTTGTCTTTGAGCCGACGATACCTGGGGTTGGGAAATTGAGTTCCGCGAGCGGTAATCTGTCAACTGTCCCCACAACATACATTTTTTAAACCTCTGCCTACATTTTCTTTCATAATGAAGGGGACTAGTTGTCCTGAAAAATGCAATGAAGAGCCAGGCTATAGTTTAAAATAATTGGTAATGGACACTTCTCATTTAAAAAAAAATTACATCTCTCATCCCCTTTTGTTTTCCGAACAGTTTGCAAGACTTGGACAAATACTGCAAACGTGTACATAAAAAAAAAAAAAAAAATCCAGCCCTCTAGTATATGTAGCTAGGAATTCAGTTAAAAGCATTTTGCTTTTTATTCTTAAGTATCTGTAATAGTAATACATGTTTCTAAGGAGAAAATGCCACTTTGTAAGTGATTTTTTTGTTATGGCTTTAGAACTAATACTTTGTTTAAAGCTGTATTTTAGTTTCAATGCTTGCCCATTGTCTTACACAAAATAGCACATCCTTTAATGTTATATTTGTGTAATCTTTGCTGTTTTGTATTTAGACACATCTATAATCTAGATTTTACATCTGAACACGGTAGCAATTTAAAAATAAACCACATTTCAGCAGCATTCTGAGCTGCCAGAGCTACATTTTAGTATCTCTAAAATGAAGCTGCACATCACACTTCAGATCACTAGTGAGTGAAAATAATAGGACTGAGGCATCTAGTAGCCTGATTGCTCTCGTAGATTAGGCAGTTACAGGTCTAAATCCTGTTATTTGTACTTAGGAAGTTACAGCACGAGCAATAGTGATCACGGATAATTGCACTGCGGTTCGGGGAATCTGACTTAAAATTTAGCTCTCACTATTCAAATCAAACTGTTAAACAGTAAATTACATAATTTATTGCGAGTGTTCACGGATCTATTTGACTTGCTTTTACCATTTGTTCTATTATTTTATTTAACCATTTTACTCGATGAGTAATGAGCATACCTTTCAACTGCCAGCCGAGTTAAGAATTTGCTTCAGAATTATTCTCAATGAGCTGGATTTGGGGGAGGACGAGAGTTTTTTTTTTTTTAATCTTTTTTTAATCAAGTGATGTCAGTGATGTCATTTTTAAATGACTGGTTGGGTGCGAGCGTGTTTGTGTGTATGAAATCACGGTTAACTCTTAACGTCATCCTACCCGAAATCCTTATTATCTCCAGATTTATTTTTATTTTTTAACAAGTCTGATGCTTTTTATTTCGCTTTCAACGTATGGTATAGTTCTCACTACTGCTGATGTGAGATACACTTGTATATTAAGTTGGGAGGAATTCCTTCTCTTTTAGGGATCGTATAGAGAGGTATACGTGTCACATATGTGTGATTTGCTAGCTGTAACGCTTGCAGGCTTTATCTTCGGATAAAGCATTGGTAAATCCAAAAATGACGGAGAAGGGAGTGAAGGGGAGAGGAGAAAGGGGGACAGGGAAAGGAGAGTGGGTGCTCACAGCTCTCCAATTAAAAAATCCACTTGTCTAGAAATACAGATGGAGGGTGGTGGCCAAAAAAAAAAAAGGGGGGGGGAGGAGGGGGGGCAGTTATTCATTCCCTATTTGCTTATTCTCAAAAATAAAAATAGGTGTCGACTCATATGGTCTCATATCGATATGTTATCATCAACAGACAAGTCTATTCACTATTGTTTCAATTGAGTAAACAGTGGTGTGAGGGTCAGCCGCATTCGCAGGTAATTGTTGGTGCGCAGACAGCGCTGTCAAGCGTGTTAGCTAAAAATACATCCCGCGCTGTCACTTCGCAAGGTGTTTGAAAATAATCGCCCAGATACAGCAAAACAGGACAGAGGCTTGTGTACTGACCTTTTTCTTTGTTTAATTTGCTCCGAGGTTTGATTTCAGGGGAGAAGTAATAATTGAATACCTCTAATAACTAAATGCTCATTTGGGACAAAATCCATCAAAATGTAATTGGCATTTGGTTCTTATGAAAGAAAAATGGCGTGGCTTTAGAGAAATGGATGTGTCCCAAGAATATCTGATCACTTAATGTATAAACTGAGGCCTCTTTTATAATATATATTAATTGCGGATACTTAAGCATTTTAGCATGTTTTGTAGTGAACTGTTACCGGAGACCAACTGTTTTTGTTAATGCTCCTCTCAGAAAGGCGGGGAAGGTTATTGGTCTGTCGTGCAATAATTTACTCCTCTTTGATATGCAAACGATCCACGGTGAATATAAAAAAATCCTATCAGACTCATTTCACAGTTCTTAACCACTTAGATTCTCTGGAGTCTATCGCCTCATTAGACCAGTGCTCTCCAAAGCTAGCATAATTAAAATCTTTAACAGTTTAGCAAAGTAAAGATGTTTGGCTGATCACGTTGAGATGATTATCTATCCATTGTATTCTAAATGACAAAAATAAATTAAATTTAGACCTTGGCATTTTTTATTATGTGTTTCAAATGAATATAATGCATAGTGCCTTTTTTTTCCCCCCCTCCCCAGTACCTTAGGTTTGGTGAGATACATGCCCGTTTGGGCTGCTGCTCTTCGCTCAGAAAATGGCAGATTTCCTTAGGATAGCTCCAGTGTTACCGCACGCTGAAACAGCGAACAGTCAGCCAAATAATCGCAAAGCGCAGTTACAAGAAGCCTCTTTAAAAACACCCGGACACTGACTTTTTTTTCCCCCCCCCTGGAATTTAAAGGGATTTGGCTCTGCTGCTTATTTTTTCCCCGCGCTCGTCTGAAAGAGCGTTGAAATAGGCTTCAGTTAGAAAATGCCACTTGTTGGATCATGTCATAAACTGAATTTTATCCTAAAGCTCTCAGCGCGGAGGCCACGTCCCGTTGGCGTGCAGGGCCCCCGGTCCAGGCTTGAATTTGGCTCACTGGAGTTTGCAGAGTTTTTTGCCTGGAATATTTATTGAATGCTACAGGCGGGTCCTAAGCCTGGTGTCCATTTTGACACAATTAAAAAACAAAATTTCTCGATTTCTTGGAGCTTATTTTATGTTTTCATTTTACTTTTGAATGGCTCATTAGCATCGATTTAAGAAATGACAGTAATAATAGTGTTACTTGTATAGAAAGTTATACAGTTTTTCAGTAGACACATCCATCAATTAAGTGAGCAGTTCGAGAAACCAAAATTAATGAGAAAGATAGGTGTGTTAATGAAATAATCATAGTATAATCAATTTGACTGTTAAAATTTGAAAAGCATTTCAGGAAGACAATATGAATTCATAATTTATGTCTAAAAGTGATTAATAAAAACTGTATTTAATAACAAAGCTATTTGTCATCATTTAAAACTTAAGCACAAAATTAGTCATATTGTGGTTCGTGTTGTCATAATAATACAGCTGAATATTTTTTTTTTCCCCTAAGACCTTCCTTCCTTTCCAAAACAAGACAGAAAGTATTCGTTTTCCTTAAAATACATACTGAAATAAAATTTGGCTAGACGACTGCAGACGAGACCTTGGTTGCCCTTGCTGTCAGGTTTGCCTGTGACCGCGGTGGGATTTCTGCCTGCGCAGGGACTCTGGAAGTGGGGGCCCGCTGGTCCCGAAACGGCAAAAAGTAATAGTAGTTAACACGATACGGAGGGGCGTCGTGGTGTGTGGATCCCCATCCCCTCCCCACGGGATTTTTCCTCTAGTAGGTATTGTAGGTGAGGCACCAGAAGATTTTAGCAGAGGACCTGATATGTCCAGCATTACCCTTTAGTTATTAAAAATAATAATAATAATGCATGCCCGCATGCGCGCGCGCGCGCACACACACACACAAAACTAACACTAGGCTTTGTTTACTGACTCTCCGATTTAATTACTGTTTGAAGACGGCCGAATTAGCTGTTAATTGATTTAATTATCCAATTTGTTTGTTTCAGGCATGATTCCAGCCGAACTGCAGCAGCTCTGGAAGGAAGTGACAAGCTCGCACACGGCGGAGGAGGCGGCGAGCAACAACCACAGCAGCCTCGACCTGTCCACCACCTGCGTCTCCTCCTCGGCGCCCTCCAAGACCTCCTTAATAATAAACCCGCACGCCTCGACTAACGGACAGCTATCGGTGCACACTCCGAAACGGGAGAGGTAGGTGCTGGCGGCGGCGAGCGTGCGTGAGTGACGCGAGGGGATTAAGTCAAGACTAAGCCAAACAGCTCGGCTTTTTCCCTTGGCCCCATCGTCCGCTACGTGGTTTTGCCGTTGCTGAAGAGTCTCCGCTGGGCGGAGCGGGGTCCTTTGGGTCAGATCTTGGTGGCTTGTTAATTGGACCGAAGTGGGCGCAGCTAGGTAATTAAAAGCATATTGGATAATTGGAAAGAAGTGTGAGCGTAAATTGTTTTAAGGTTTCCATCGTTGGTGTTGCTCTTGATGTGCTTTGGGGCCTCAGACTAGAGGTGAGGGAGAACTAGTTGGTCGGCTGTAGCTGTTTTGCCACAAGACACCCACATTTCAGTCAAATTTCGGGGCTTATCATGTAACGGTTGCCTTTTTTCCCCTGTGTTTACCTGCTTTCACCAAACTGGCTAGACTTGAGTTCTTCGGTAGAACAAAGCGCGCGTTTTTAAGCGCTGCTAAAATTAGATAACCGGCATTGTTGGGCTTTTAAAAGTCTGAGTTAATTTGTACTTGCTACGCTCGCATTGTTAAAAGTAGTGGCTTAAAATCAGGGGTTGTCTGTTGGCGCGCTTCTCGGCTGCGCTCGGCAGGATGCGTTGCTGCAGGTTGGTTTCTTTACGCCCCCGGCTTTCGCGGAGGTGCATCTAACAACGTAACTCCCGCGTGCGGTGAGACGGCTGTTCCCGGCCCCGGTTCCCCTTCCCCGGGAAGGTAACTTTTTGGGGCGCGGGGTCTGAGGAACCTGCTTTTGGGCAAGTTTTGGGAAACGGCCGAAGTCGCGTTTGCTTCCCGCGGCCGCCCCGGGCAAGGGTCTGCAGCAGCCCGCGAGCCCCGTCGGCGCGCTAAGCAGCGTAGTCCTCCTTTGCATTCAGGAGAGCCCCTCTGCCCATCTAGAAACGTTATAGCCGACGCTAGTGAAAGCTGGATTTTATGGAAACTGATGGCTTTGTCTTTCCGTCCTCCTTTCATTCATTAGAAATGGGATAATGGAATTTTTAAGCCATAGAGTTTATATTTCTGGTGGCCTGAAAGTAGATTGATAGGGAAGCTATATAAATACCTCTTATATCTTCCTAATATTAAAAAAAAAAAAGTGCTGTTTGGAATACATGGATTTTAAAGAAGAACACACCCAGTGTTTGGAAGTATTGCTGTTTAGACGTTGTTTGTGTGAGGCAGCGTTTTGTATCTGCGGCAGGGACGTGTGGGAGGACGTTAGTGCGTACGGTTATAACGCATGGAAGCGTCAAGGACGTGGTTTTCATGAAGGCTTGCGTGGGATACTGAAAACAATTTGATGTCTATTAAAAAATTGAATTCTGGTCTTGCTGCATGTAGAGCCGAACAAGATGGGTTTATGACTTTCCAACATTTTTCTTTAATCTATGTTTTTCTTAGTTTATAAAACAAAAGCCCATGCAGTGAAATAGATCTTCTCTCACTGAATAGAGGCATGTGCTGTCTGCTAATGGCAATCTAATCAAGGAAACAATATGCCATTGCTGTTTAGTTTGAAACGCACTGGAAACATATGAATCTGTTCTGAAGTAAGAATTTGCTTTGTGTGTACTGTCAAGGAGAACTGGAAATCCGTGTGTCTGAGTGCTGTCATGTAATTGTGGCCTGAAGGCAATTAGACTCTACAAATAAGGTGATACATATGCTTTTATTAGTAAAGTTCCAAATAAATTAATTAGGAAGGCATAGACATGCCACAGTATTGTTTGAGACTGTAATAGGTTAGAGGACTTAAAATGCTCAGTCGTTGAATTGATAGGTGTCTTGTTAAAGCTTGTCGTTATGCTTTGCTTACAAATCTGAGTTCTCTTCAAAATCAGAATACAAAATTAAGTGTATTTAGGAATACAAATGAGAGGGCTGCGGACTTTGCTTTCTCTTGGCTCTATCTGGTACACTGAAGGTTTATGCCATCCATTTGCTGCAGTGATTGAATTACATCTTTATCCATAAGTAGAACAGGAGACTACACACCGAAGAAAGCCTACTGATGCACTTAAGGGTTTTGTTGCAGTCTCATCAGGCATCGTGGTGCCTGCCTGGATTTCATATGACCTACAGGCTCCTCTTGTTTAGATGCGTGGCCCTGACTTCCTCTTTGAAAAGGGTATTTATGTGCAGTCAGGGCATTCGGGGTGGTGGTGAGCAGTGGGAAAAGAGGAGCTGTGCGATAGATATATATATATATTTGAAAGCGCACAGAAGACAGAAATGTAGAGAACTTGCAAAAGAGAGAACATAGGCCTATGCGGGGTTTTGGTTACTTTTTGATTGCAAGGGTAAAGAGTAGAACTAGCCATGGATCTGTTTGGAGAGTGACTTGGCTAGACCTGGAGCGTAATCTGCGTATTTCCCTGTGCCCAGCTAGTTCAGGAGATCATACAGAATATGACTGGGCTTGTGGAGCTGGCTAACCAGCGCAAGTTCAGGTGAGATGGGGCTGCTGGAAGGAATTGCAAGGGAGGTCTCAGCCTTTCTGCATCCCGTTGCGCAAGCCTGAAGCGTGGGCTGGCCAGGGCAGGTTGTTGCTGTATGGGCGGGTTGCTGCTCCCCCATCTCTTCCCTGATAAATGGGTAGACTTGAGCAGATCTTTGTGCATTTGTCACCTGGAGATGAGGAGGAAGCTCCCTGAAGGGTGCCTGGAAGGCAAAACTTGCCCACTTGCGGATAGCATTTCCTTTCAGAAACGTACTGTGCTGCTGCTCCACAGCCTGTGCCTTACTCTTAGCTCGGAGAGCCCTGAGCGGCTCCGTCCCAGTGCCGTTTCGGTGCGGCGAGCATTAGTGCAGATATCTCTAGCTTAAAAGTAATTTGGCTGGTGACAGGGCACGTTGTGTGCAACACCAGTGGAATTCGCCACTAGCTTTGGTCTGATTCGACCAGGAGCTATTTATTTAGACTTAAACAACAATAAAAAGCACATAGTAAAAGCTGTAAGTGTCCTAACAGTTAACCACAGCCACATCATAATGACTGCCAGCAGCAATAAATAATCATATACAGGTAACATTAACTTTTAGGGTGTGCCGTAAAGCTGTGCTTTCCCCCCTCCCTCTAGGGCTTTGGAGCAGGAGTGGGCTGCAGGATGCAGGTTGGTTATGTGGGAGTTACTATAATCGTCGTCATTTCTGGCACATGTCATTGGGATAGTTCACTCTGTGTTTTATGGGGTTACTGATCCCATAGGTTAGATCCGGAGGTTGCTTAAAGATCTGTAAAGCAGGAGCAACTCGCTAGATTTCAGTGACGTTATAAGCACCTGTATAAAAGGAGCTGGAGAGCAGAAGCTCTGCTGAACGTGTTGGGTGAAAACACATCTTAGTTATAAACAAGGATATTAAAATAGCAGGAGGAATACCGTAATTGGTTGGTTGGCATGCCCACGCGTCCCCCTGCCGAAGCCCAGCCTCGCGGTTGTGTGTTGAAAAGCGTAAGTCCTCTGCAGGCTGCCGGGGAGGGCAGGTCCGGCGTCAGTTTGCGACGCTGGCAGCAGTCGCGGCCGCGATAATCGAAACCGAGTGACAAAACTCTTCTTCTTGACGGTGAGCGGCGAATGGCAGGCGGGCAGCCAGAGTCACCCCGGGATGTGGCCGCACAAATCCGCTCGACTTCAGTGGGAACAAGATACGTTCAAAAGCAGGAGGCATCCCGCGTTCGCGGACGCGGGTCAGGGATCGCAGAGCTGTTCTTGGGTTTTAAGTGCGTGGCGTATAAGGCTTTTACAGGAATGGAACAATTCCAGCTATAAATAATGGGTTAATGCTTTCATTCATTTGGGCTTTAAATGTATATTACATCTATGCTTTTGTCCCACATTTTGCCCAGTTTCTGTAAGTAGCAGCAGCAGCAGCTCTGGGGTTTGGTGCACAGCAATCTGTTAAGGAGATAAATAATCTGCTTTGGCATGACACTCCTACTCTCCTCTTTAATTTGTCTTACACAAGGAAAATTATAATTAAATCATTCAGGGTAAACCCTTGAGTGTAGAGAAGGAAAAAACACACTTTGGTAAGGATTGCCAATAGAGACCAACTTCCCTGTTGTGCCGTGCAGAGACATTTATCAATATTCAGCACTATTAAAGAGAGAACATTTCGTGTGATTTGTGAGGCGGATGCCAAAGCTCAAATCAAGGCTTGTTAAGATCCTTTCCCCATGCAATCATGGGCATTCAGCATCATTAGAATTCAGCACTGACTCTGTGTTTCATGCTTTGATTTTACTCAGACAATTTAATAATGTTTATTGTGCTGATTATATATATAAATTCACTGAATGCAATAAACATACCTCAGTCATCAGTACCCTAAGGGAAATATTTAGTTATAGATACTTGTATTCACTCAGGATAAGCGAAAGTGAGACCATCAACCAGCATGCAAACCTCTCATCATCTTATCAGCATTTGGGTTTCTCCAGTAACAAGCATTTTCTCTACGCAAGTAGATAAATAAATAGCTGGAGCCAGTTAAGTACATCTGTTGAGCCTAGAAATGTCAAGGACAGTACCCGCTTTTCGTATCATTCCACTGCATCTTGATTAGAGAAAGCTTCGCTATTTTGTGAAGACGAACCGCAGAACAGAGCTGGTCAAGGTGTGGTCACCTCAGGTGACGACTAGCTTCATAACCTGGCACGTATCTTTGCATCCCCAAACCTGCTTGCATAGGAATATTGCCAACGTGGGTAGGTTTGGGAAAGCAAAGCAGCGCAGACTTCCTCACTCCGTTAGGGCGAGCAGAGCTCGTTCCAGCGAGACCTGGAGCATGAGATTTGCAGGTGCTCGGGAGCATGTGTGCACAGGTCCCCTCGCCTGGCACACGCGGGATCCTCATGAGCCTGCTCGGGGAACGCTGTGCCTGCTGTGACAGGAGGTAAAGACTGTGTGTCCGAGAGGCCTTTCTCCATCCTCCAACCCACGTTTGACTTCTGATATCTTTATACCCCTTCC